CCCCAAAACCCCAAAACCCCAAAACCCCGTGCTGGAATGGACGGTTGGATTATATTCAAGGAGAGGAAGAATAAATATGAGGAATTGTTAGGGATGGGTGGAGGATTAGAAGGGGGGAGGAGGGATTGGGGTAACTGTTGGGGTTGGGAGGGTAAGGAGGGAGGTGGGGGAGGTGGGGGTGGGGAAGTGATGGTTTAGGGTTTGAGTTTGGTGTTTAATGTGATATTTTTGAATAATTTATGGTGAAGTATACATTGGTTAATTTTTCATATTTTTATTATTCCCGTGCTTGATTTCTAAGAACTTTTGGGAGTGATTGTACTTTATTTGACACAAAAATAAATAATAGATTAATAATCGTAACTACCAGCTTTATTATATCATTAATAACAGAAGAATGCGAAGGAAGCTACGAAATATCCTAAAACTTCCAACAATCTATTAGACAAAAGTCTGAACATCTAGTCTGAAATACTTAGCCATCCAAGATAGAAAATAATATAGTTTCTTTCAAACCAAGCAAATTATTTGAACAAATGATTGGATACCTATTTTTAATAATCTTTTTAATTTTTCAATCAAAAGTGAGTTAAACTGAAATTACTAATCTAAGCTTAAAACCATTCCTCTTTATTTTTACAAGTTTACTTCATAAACTTTCCTTTAAGCTTGTAGAATTAGTCGCAAATATTTTAGAACCTTAATAGTAAGTTTTATCAGAAAAGCTATCAAACTCTCTTTATAAAAATTGATATACAAAATATGAAAAACTGTTTATCAGAAGTATTTTCCTTTAGCATAAAAGAAAGATAGAGTTTTAAAAGAATGCTCATTATTGTACCCTCATTTCCTAGTTTCATTATTAATAATAATAAAAGGATTGAGAAGAAACTTTTCAAAGGATTAATGTCTTTTAGAAATACTTCAAACAAGTTCAGAACAATATTTATAGATGTAATAATGATTAATGACTTCGAAGTATCTTGGTAATGCGTGAGAAGAAAGTATTTGGAGTCATTTAACAATATCATATCCGTTCAACTTTAATAACTATCAAATATAGTTAAAATTTTGAAATAAAGTAGTTTCAGTATTCTTATCGAAGACTGAAATAGAGAAGCCTCGCGCAATCGAGTTTAAGACGTTATATGTTATTTATGTTAATTCGTAAAACCAATGGATGTTGAAACTTAAGAGGCAAAATTAGTGATGAGAATGGTCCACTTTAGACTTTTATGAAGAATAAATGTGAGTGGTTATTTGATAATCTTTCTATTGTTTTTAATGCTACTCAGGCTCTTGTTTCCGTATGATTCCTTTAGTCTGATACATATTTCTGTCAAGACAGTCATGGTCTTGCCTGGGAACTCGTAGATCAATTTTTCATAATCTATCTCACCAAAATTATAAGTGTTACGGAGAATCTTTTTAAGCTTTTTGATTTCTCGAAACGAGAACTCAGATGAATATAACGATTTGATCCTAGTCAAGAGCTTTGCATGGCAAGCCTTCCAGCCTGATCTCTCTTTCAGTTGCTCAATGCCTTCATAATTGTTGGAGTGAGAATTGAGGTTAAGAATCTCATCAAGAATGATGATTTGATCTTGCTCCATATCTCTGATTGTCTGGAATAATACTTTATCTTGGTTCCTCCCCCACCTTTTATGAATCGTATCTGAAACTTTAGTAACTACAGCAGGCATTGTTGGTTGTCAAACAGAACTCTTTACACTATTTTCTTGTGTTATTTGGATTTTATTGACTTCTGAACTTCAAATTTTATCTCCATTTGAGAATACTTTAGCACCATTATCATCTGATGATTTAAGGCTCTCAAGTTTTGGAAGAGACTCATCAAGCAAGTTAACAGGAATCTCAAACAATGATTCAAGATTATCAGCAAGATCAAAATATGGGTCTTCTAAGATCTCTCCTTGGCAAAAATCTGGAATTTCCGGTCCTTCAGAGTCATCAATAGAACAAAGATACTCTATAAAACCTCATGACTCAAAGACAAAAGTAGTTCTAATCCCCATTTAATCCATACAAACATCTCAACTTTCTCTCGAACCATTCTAAAGCCCTACTGAAAGAACCCCCTACTTCTTATCCAATGGTCTATTGCTAATTAATTCTCCTCTAAGCTTATCTTTACCTGAACTTGAGTGGGATGGTGGCATTTGCATATTTTTAAACTTAGTTAATTCAATTGGGATCATCCTTTATGGGGTTTTGGGGTTTTGGGGTTTTGGGGTTTTGGGG